TAGAAGAAACAACTTTTGTTGATCAATCAGTGGAGAAGAGAAGTTATGGCGTCTAGGACATAAAAAATTAAACCAGACCTTCAGGTCTTCTCTAAACTAATCGTTAACGGTACAAGACTTTGCTTTTGTTTTCTTGTAATCTTCCATTTTTCAGACTTAAATGCTGCTGAAACTGTGTGACTGTTTGGAAGCTTGAAACACCAGTTTAAATGAACATGAGCATTCCTGATTCAAAGAGGCAAACTAAAGAGTATGTATCCATTTAACATCCACAGTTAATTTAAACTTGTGAGCCCAACTTTGCTTTTAAAATAAACTGCAATTCTACAACACACTGTATACTTAACTTAAAACTGAACTAAAATCTGTACAGGCAGACTTACTTACATTTTGCTGGCAAATTGTGGAGAAATAATCTGTTCCAGCTCACTAAAAAGGCTGGCGAAGAGAAAATTGGCTCTCCCGAAAATTAGCCGCTTTAAAAAAACAAGCATTGCTCCTCAGCATCACTCAGCAGCTGTCTAAATTGCGTGAGAGGGGGGGGATCCAGTGAATAAATCCAAGATTTAAATCCCTGAGAAAACAATCAAAAGGATCACATCAGTTTTAGCTGCCAGTCATTCTGGGAACCATTTTTCCTCCCAACACAGAATCCAAAGTTAATGAAGCAGCGTCCAAAGCAAAGACAAAGCATGAAGAAAATTCATTAGGTTGACGGTTTTAAAGGAAAATAGAGACCTTGCTGGTAGCATGTGGCCAGACGATGACAGAACTGAGCAGTTTAACACCTTTCGAGTCAACATTCATAGTAGGATGACTAAGTTCCAGGAGACTAACCACAGAAGAACCTGTTCCTTTCAGAGCATCTCAGAGCCCTGTCAGCACCCAACCATCGCCCCCTTCAACACCACCAAGAGGCTTAATTCAGACGACACTCATTAAAGAGCCAAAGTAAAGCTTTTACAGAGGTCGCTATGAATGCATTGCCTGAGGGAACAATGAAGTCCAGTCACAGCAAAAGGAAAGTACAATCTCTTTAACTTCTAGAGTGTTACATATCAGGAAGCAATAAAAAATCTAACAAGTGAAAAAAACTAATAATTCCTTCAATAGCAATGGAAAAACCATGTGTGAAACGACTAAATAAACCCAAGGATATATTAGATAGGTAGCAGTGGTGGGAAGTAACAAAGTACATTTACTAGATTACTGTACTTATAATAATTTAATACCTTTACTTTACTTTAGTAGTTATTTGTTACTTTTGGCTCAGGTTAGCTTCGTAATCCACTGTTGCTGTTTTTCTTCCTTGAAATGCAATTTCAACATGGCAGGTAGGAGCCTTTAGGACTGAATTTAAACACCAGTGTTTTAGAGATTTGCATGATATTCTACAAATGTGAAAAACTCAAGCTAGATATTATTTGTAGTTTATAATTTCATTAAGGCGTTAATTGTTGCCATGTGGCTGAGGTGTTCAGTAGGATTAGTTCTCATATAAGAGTTAGTTTCCTTGTGGCAATAAATTCAACCTTAAACCTCTATTCCATAATAAGAGTGTGAGTAGAATCAAGACTCTCTAGTTCTCTTTTTAGATTGTTTTTAAATAAGAAATAATTTTATAACAATTATTATACAATAATTTAACTATTGTGTCTCTGCTTCTGTCTCTATAGCCCCATTTACACTACCCTTTTGAAACCGTGCCGAGAACAGTCCGAGCACAGTAACCGAGATAACTGTTGAGTGTAAATGGCACACAAAACTCAACCGGAACGTGCCACACACAACCAAACTGCGCTATCCGAACTAGTACTAGTTCAAAATTAGGGTTCGGCTTCTCTGATAACAAAGAGCGTGTGAGCAGACCGCGTCATCTCCTATTAACAGTCAGCTTCCAGTAGTTGGCGGTAATGCACATCAGTAAGTTGCTTGCCAACAGTAACAAAACAGAAGAAAAAGAGCCGTAAACAACAATCAAAATCTTCTCAACACTACATTTTTTTAAATGGCTTTAAAAGAGCGTGTTGCAACCTGGGATGATGGCAAGACTGCGGCTCTTATTGCAATTTGGTAGAGGAAGCTATCCAGGTGTAGCCTGGGTGCCATTCCAAACTTAGTCCCGCCCACAACGTTTGAGGTCGGGAAGTTCGGTATGGCATTGCTCAACAGTAGCGCGAGTATGCTCGCACAATATCTGGCGGGCCAATCAAATTGTCAGGGTGTGCTTTATACGATGATGGACAGATGATCAACAGTAACGTAATCAACCACGTCACCAAAGCGCGCTTGGGTGACAACAACAATG